AGTTGCCTTAAATTAATACGCTCTGATGCTAAGGAATTACACATTTTACATTAATTTTCAACCTTTAAGTATCAAGCCCGATCACATAGTTTGGTAGTGAAGCATGGGTATCCGGCTAGTCTCCTTATATAATGCTTTGAGCTAACGTCCTATCGGTTTCCCTCTCCTGCAGGAAAAAAACTTAGAGTGGTTTCCTCGGATGAGAGCCATGTCCTTGGTCAGCAACGAAGGGGACAGTGAACAGAACGAAATCAGGAACCTGCAAGAAAGGTTGGAGACCACCATGTCTTTGGTCAAGCAGCTATCCGGCCAACTCGCTGAGCTTAAAGAACAGGTGAGCAGCCTTGGTGTTTAGATTCGGAATCAGAATAGAGCTGGGAAGGGACCTTGGAGGTCTTCTAGTCCAGCCCCCTGCTCAAGCAGGAGATCCTATACCAGTCCCCACAAGTGTCCAGTCTCTTCTTCAAAACCTCCAGTGATGGAGCGCCCACGACTTCTGGTGGGCAAGCTGTGCCACTGGTTAATTGATCTGGGATTATAGGATAACAGAGTTGGAAGGGACCTTGGAGGTCTTCTAGTCCAGCCCCCTGCTCAAGCAGGAGATCCTATACCAGTTCCCACAAGTGTCCAGTCTCTTCTTCAAAACCTCCAGTGATGGAGCGCCCACGACTTCTGGTGGGCAAGCTGTGCCACTGGTTAATTGATCTGGGATTATAGGATAACAGAGTTGGAAGGGACCTTGGAGGTCTTCTAGTCCAGCCCCCCTGCTCAAGCAGGAGGTCCTATACCGTCTCAAATGATGTTATTTAGTCGGGTAACTAAACTCTCTGTCAGACAAGAGAACGTCAAGGACCTCCACAAATAAATAAACTTTTAGAAAACAACCTCAGTGGGGAAGATGTATAACCCTGGTATCTCTCATCATCGTCTTCTTCTTCTTTTTAAAGCCATCAACTGATCTTGTCTTTTGTCTCCTCCTTCGCCCTTAGATGACCGAACAAAGGAAGAACAAACAGAGGCTCGGGTTTTTGGGACCCAACGCTCCCCACGTGAACCATCACACTTCCCCGCACTGATGTAACACACACACACCGGATTGTGACACTGCCTTTCATCCCTGGATCACGAGGCAGAAGAACTGAGGACTGAAGAGCGTTCTTTGTTCCACGGTTTTTCATCCAGAGTGCCAAAATGGAAGAAGCTTTCACTGCATTTTATGGTCAAAAGGGGCCGGGGTTTAATACCCCCCCCCCTCCTTACAGATTCCGCGAAACAGGCCCTAATCTTCATTTTCGCTCCATAAACAAAAAAAGGAAACGAGGGAGCATCTCCGTTGACGCTCCGGCTTTTCAATCGGGATTCATTCTCTTCTTTAAAACGAAATCTGGTTTTTCTCCAGAAGTTGGAAGGGAAGAAGCTGAAATCGGTTGAGTTGTTTGGATGCCGTTCTAAGAAACTTTCTGACTCCGGCAAACTTTCTAACGGGATGACGACGTGCAGCGGCTAACACCTCTTGTCGCTTCCGCAGGGTTTGGCTACCCTTGGTCCTGTTTGTGCGTGGTGTTGCGGTCTTCCGGCAGTCCAGGCACAATGCCGATAACGCTCCAAGCAATTCATTCGTGTTTCAAGGATGAGCGATGCCGTCTCCTTCGTCCGCCATCGATGGTTTTTGCTTTGGAAAGGAGACTGGCGTGAACTGTTTTTGCCGTCTTGCCGTACGATTCCTAAAATCTGGGGCAATGAATCCACAGTTTTAAATTATTATTTTATTTTTGCATTTAGGAATGTCGCTTCCCCAAAAGCAGGAGAACAGATCCCTCGATTCAACGAGAGAATCGTATCGAATTGATATCATTCCTCCTGGATTCCGTGCCGGTACTCTAAAAAAGTGTCTACAACTGGGAATTCCAAATATTGGCCTCGAATCTAGAGTTAAAAACCAAGGCTGGGGTTAAGGAGAGGAAGATCTCTTTCGTACATCTTTAGTCTCAACGATTAAATTCGGGAGGGCGAACGGGCTCGAAAGATCTGTGCAGCAGATGGGAAGCGGATCCTTGTTTGTTCACATTAAAATTCAACTTTGATGCTTCTTCTTTCTCCACTTGTGATCAAGATCTTCTTCCAAATTAACCCACACCTCTGTTGCTCTACCAAGAGACAAATATACTCATTATTCTACCCCATGATTCTACTATTCTCCCTTCTAGAAGAGAGGACGTATCTTACCCAAAAGGTAGTCCTCAACTTACAACAATTCATTTAGTGACCCTTCCACGTGACCGCGACACTGGCAGAAGTGACTTATGACTGTTTTTCACACGACCGTCGCCGCCTCTCCAGAGTCACGTAATCGAAATTCAAATGCAACTGGTTCATATTTATGACGGTTGGAGTGCCCCGGGGGGAGTCAACGTGATCCGGTTTTGCGACCTTCTGACCAGCAAAGACAAGGGGGAAATCCCACTTCCCTTAACGACCGTGTTACTCACTTAACAAATGCAACGATTCACTTAACAACAGTGGCAGGAAAAGCCGCAGCATGAGGCAAAACTCACTTTACGAATGCTTCACTTAGCAACGTCAACGCCGGGCTCAGTTGTGGTCGTAAGGTGAGGAGTACCTGCACTCACAACCATGATTCAACGCTGTAGTTTTTCACTGAGTTGTCTCAGAGGGAGGATTTAATTCCTGAATCCAGGTCGCCAAAATCTTAAGCGAGCACCGGGTCGAATCATAGCAGTAATTTTATTACCGTAAAGTGTCTTCCAAATTTTTTGCAGGTCATTTCTGTGAGACATCGATTATTATCGTCTTTGGAAAAATACTAAGCCCGAAAAGACTTTTAAGAGCTAACTTGACTTCCGTCAACTGGAATGAAATGCCTTCTTTTAACATTAAATGTTGACAAATCTGGGTCTTTCTTGTGTGACTATAGTTATAGTTTCTTAGTAAAAATGTTGATGAGAGATTGAAAGATTTGTGTCTGGCTAATAGACTTGGTTCTACTTAATCAATTCCGACTCTTCTTAAGTATAACTCTTCTAGATGAGACAAGATTCTCGATTTCATCTTATCTGAGTTAAATAAGCTGCCCTCTTTACGTATCTTAGGAGAACTGGAAACGTAGGAAACTGTGTGTGTTTTCTGACCTTGGCTTCCCAAGATCATGAAGCCGACTCCTCGTCCCAATAAAACCTCTTTTATTTAGGTTACAGGGAATTCCTCTCCAGCAAAGTCTTTCAAGAGAATTCACAACTACAGACCTTATCAGGCTTGGAGAGCTGCCAGGCCGATATCTTCCAAACACCAAGCTGTAGCGGCAATTGGCAAGAAGTCAGGAACAGATCTTCACCCTAATGAATTGAACGAATGGTTTCCTGCAAACTCCACTCCCCTTTCGCTCCTCTTTATTCCCTATGGGAGGGGCCATTCACCGTCCACCTTTACTCCCAAGTCGACCCCTGTTCCTTAGCTGTTCCCTTCTCCTGGCAGCTCTGCACATGCGCACACTGGGAACAGGCTCCAGCTGTTGTTCTGCCCCACTGATATCTGACTCCGAAGGCAGCTGATGGCTGTGGCCCTGTCCCCCTCTCTGCCTCCGACACAGAGCCCTCATCCGAGCCTTCCCCAGACTCCAGGACTGGCCCATCTCCCTCCCCAATCTCCTCACTGTCTGAATCTGCAGCCAGATCCGCTGGCCACTGGCGGGCCACAACAGTGTGTGACTTTTCAAAAAACAAAAATAAATCTCTTTGTGGCTTCTTGGGAAACATAANCTTATTCTATTCTATTCTACTCTTATTCTATTCTACTCTACTCTTATTCTATTCCTTATTCTACTCTTATTCTATTCTACTCTACTCTTATTCTATTCTATTCTATTCTATTCTACTCTTATTCTACTCTTTTACTATTCTATTCCCCTTCCTTCTTTCCTTATTCTACTCTTATTCTATTCTAGATGGTGCTTCAATATAGAATTATATTAAAATAAACATTTGAGTACTTCTTTATGTAATTAAGAGGCAGCAATGAAAGACAACCGAATCAGGGTCTACTGTAAAATATGGAGCTGCTATTGTATCTGGAAGAGGGCTACGTTAAGGGATGTTATTATATTTCTACCCCTAGATCTGTCAAAACTTTAAAACAGGCGGGGATCCAATCTTGGCAACTTTTAAGGCTTCTGGACTTCAACTCCCACACTGGTGCCTTACCCACATAATCGTCCTTCGATGTCCCTTCAGGGATTCGGTAATCCACATCGTCATTGCAGAAAAAGTGGAAAGGCTGGAAAGTGTCGAAGATAAAATCCCCCAGGTATTCGTCCATGTAAATCGTAAGGATGCGCCGGTCGAAGCTGTCGATGGCTCGCCCGCCGTACATCACCTAGAAATCGGCAGAACATAAAGGATTTAATCACCATTTGAGATGGAACTTTCCCTGTGCTATTTTTTTTAAAAAAAAATTTTTGGGATTTATTTATCAGATTTAGAGAAACTGCCCATCTGCTTCACAGAAGGACTCTGGACGGCGTGCGAATAAAATATCAAAACGTAAAAAACGGCGTATAAAATTTAAAACGAGACAAAGGTGGTTAAAATTCAACATTCAAGGTTAATGAAAAGGCAGAAGGAGGGTCTTCAGGTTGCCTATCAGCTCCTCTGGTACCACCCTAGTAATCCTAAACAAATTTACAGATAATCATTGACTTACAACGGCATTTTTGGACTGGAATTTCTGTCACTAAGCAATGCAGTCGTAAAGCAGAGATCTCTGGCTTAGCCTAAGTCAATGGGGAAGGCGGCAGGAAATCGCAAGTCCCAGATCCACCGGTGGGGGAAAGTATTTCCCCACCCACAATAGTGAGAAGATGTAATAGTGGGCCTTCTGGTTGAATATTGATCAGTCTCATGGGGTCATTTTTGAGGGGCCGCCCCTCTCATCATTTCAAGCAATCACACTGCCCCTTGTGTTAGGAATATAATTCTAACGGTTGGGTTGGAAATATATAAATGTAACAATGTTGTACCTGTTTCTTTAAATCATACTGTAAAACGTGATTGGCTGCTGTTTTCCTCAATTGGCCATAAGAGGGAGCCAGAACGACTGTTAGCTCTCTCTCTGTTCGTTAGATGCCGGGCTGATCTGATCTGAGTGTTTTGGAAGCTGGCTGTTAGAAAGTGCC